CTTCTGTGTAAACGACGTGAGAAGTAGGCTTAGCCGGGGTGTACACTAAAAGGTTACGGGGGCTACTAACGCGGGAAAAAGCAACATAGAGTTGGCCATGTGCAAAACAGTCAGTACTGAGGTACACTCCTACAACGCGTAAAGTTTGACCTTGCGCTTTATTTACGGTCATCGCATAACACACGCTCACTGTAACTGGGAACTGAACGCGCTTAAAACTGAAAGGAAAGTTACTTCTTAATAGTGGGTTTTTGGGCAGTGCTGCCAGATAAAGAAAAACTAATTCAGCTCTAGGACAACACAAAAAGCGCTAGATTTCATGAAAACAGCGCTTTAAAATAGCCCTAGATTTCGCGCTAAATTAACTACAAACAAAGTTTGTGTTTTTTTATATAATCATAATAAAGAAAACAACATCAAGTTTTTTTTCTGGCAATATTTTTTTGATGTATCAATACTTCGCAGGACATCGACTTATAATTATGGTAATTGCTGTCAACAGTAGTTAGTACTGTACGAACAATAAAAATGTCATTAATTGTTTTAAAGTGCAATGTATTTCGCAACTTAGTTTCAGATGTCAGCATCTGATAGCGGTTGCTACACAGTTTCTTTGTGTTATAACTTCTAAGTAACTTTTAACTTAGCTGTGCTCTAAGCAACTGACTGAAACTGAATAAAGCAAAATAAAAGCGTTGCCAAAACCATGAACAAAAACTTTAATAAAGGGGATTTCCCCGCTTATAGTCGTCGGTAAAAAAATCAAGTTTATCATCCTAAAGGGGAAGCCAGGAGATCCATAGCACAGGGTATCCTAGTTTGGACTCGTCTCCCATGCTCTTTGTTTTGTGGAAAAAATATGTTTGAAAAAGATAAACTGCAATGTACTATTTGTGGGAAAAAATAATAAAGGTCATTATTATTATTATCGGTAATGTGGACTAACAGTGCTATTATAAAAGAGTTAATAACCCGCTAGTCGCTAAAATATTGAAATGTGTGCTAAATACACCAAAAAGCGCTGGATTAAGCTAGGTGCTAAAATTTCGAAATGCGCGCTATACATTCCAAAAAAGCGCTAAATCTGGTTCCCAAAGCGCTAAAATGGCAGTACTGATTTTGCGTATATTATAAATACAATATCACGACATTTCGTTGCAAAATTTTTATTTTTGATCGGATTCCGTTGTATGGCTTAGATGGATACAAATTTCTTCAGTAAGTCTCAATACGATTCATCGGCGAAAAATCTCAACACAGCAATTCAGAAAAGTTTGTAATTTGTACAACTCCATCTATTACGTCCTTTGTGTGAGAAAACATCCTTTTTAAATCTCTTTTTGTGTTTTAAGTATAAATATATTAATTATTATGGAACGTTTTTTTTACATACAAATCTTTTTATTACTATTTCTGAGATTTTATGGCGCCATTGAACAAATTCGAACCTACATTTCAAAATAATAATCATTACTTTCGATAGAATTAACCAATTTTAATAAAACAAAGATTAAATGTAACTCGAAGATACGCTTTATGATTTTCTTAACGATTTCTTTGAAAATAAAAGATGTTTACTTTAGACGTGATGCGTTCATATAATAACAGCCAAATAGACATACAGACAATTCTAAAAATTATAAAATGTTCTTATTTAATTATTTTCAGTTCCCCATAATGATTTTAGCCACCAAAATATATACCTATACAATGTACAGAAAGAGACACAACATGTTATCATCATTTTTATTATATGTATATATTTAAAGAGAGATGGCGCTGCTAACATCAATTCTAAAAATAAAAGAGATTAATTGACGCGATTGATACATTATATAAAACGCAAGAGAACTTATAAATCAGTGCCTGCACAGTAAGCAAAAAATAAAGTTTGACTCTCGCCAAAACCAACGATTTGTTAATAGCTCTTTTAAAATTTGATTTACCACATAGAGTACTCGGCGGTAAAGAATAAATTGAGTTTGTCAACACGCAGTACGGCAGTGAGTAATATAATAAAGATTAGCAGTAAATATGAAAACTCATCTACAGGAAAAAACCACATTGCAATCATTCACAACACCACCATCTATCGAAGAAATGGGAAAACTATTGTGCTTCAGATTTAGTTAATAAGGTTAATATATTTTTGTATAATATATTTAATACGTTCTTTAATACTTTTGTTTACTGCGTTTTAGATATACATAATTATATCATTATTTTACATAATTTAACTATGATTTATGATATGATATTAGTTTAAAATGCACTTGATGACTCAAACAAAGCCACCGTTGAGCTAATTCGTACCTATACTTCCCTACCCATACTTCAGAATATTTATCATAACTTTTGATGGAATGAACTGATTTTAATGAAATAAAGACTAAATGTAACCCGAAGATACACTTTATAATTCCCTTAACAATTCTTATGATATAAATTAGTACTTTATACGTGATACGTTAACAAACAAACAGACAGACAGACAGACAGACAGACAGACAGAAAATTCTAAAAATGGTAGAAATGTATTTAATTACTTATTTTTAGTACCCCTCAATCACTTTTATTACAAAAATATAAAATGTACAGACATCTGCTATTTACAGTTTTATTATATGTATAGATAGATTATGGAATCTGGAAAACATAGTAAAAATTTTTCTGAAAGAGAGAAGAGTACTCGTATTCATTGCACTTCTATTAGGCCTTAATAATTATTTTATCCCTTGAATATTTTAGTATTTAGCGCCCACTGGCAATTTATTTTAATAATAACACGTAATAACCTAAAAGTTGATGTATTTTGCTTGAAATTAAACGTCAAATAAAGTTATAGAGCCGATAAACGGCACATATTGGCCAGTTAAATTAAACTTAGCTTAAATGGAGTTTATCTTACATTGCGATGTTCGGAAACGCACTTTCACAAGTTATCGAACCAATAGCGCTAACGAATAGATAAACTGCCGATAAAAGTACCTCAGAAACCGAGCATTAGTCGCTCGCGTTTGCAACACAATGGCTGTTGAAACTGTGGCAGTATGCACGCTATATGCATATTTAATATAGCTAAATATACCAATGTCATAAAAAAATATACGTCGTCCTCGCCAACGATAATGGTGGATGACATCTAGAACGACGCTTCCGTAACGAGCGTTCGATTCGAACTGCATTCGCGCGATTATGTGGCCAGCCACTCGCCTATATTATATATCGCCTATATTGCCTGCCAGTCCTTTGACTCGCGACCGAAGAACTGACAAAACAGGGAGCGATGGGCGTGACGAGGAGCATGACGTGCGGCATGACGAGTATTGTTGCCACACTACGTCTCTGCCACCTTTCCTCGCTACTTCCCATGCCATTCAACAAGTGTGGGGGTTAGAGCTGTACAAGATCCTATAATACAATCAACATTACAAACTTCAAGATGCTAAGACATTGTGTATCGAAGTATTAATGCCCCGACTTCAGAAGCTAATAAAAAGAATTTTTTTTTTGAAGTCGCTTCTTTACTTTTTTTAAACTTTTTTTACCCTTTTGAACGGGAATATCACAATTGCATGGTAAATTATAAAGTAATTAATAAACGTTCCGTAGGTAGTCATGAATCATTCAAAATCTGCCGCTTATGTTCTCTAGTAGGTACTGCTGAAGGAGATTTATTGCCCCCCAATGTAGTCGACCGACGTACAATACAAATTATGTGTATCACAGAATTTGTACAACTCTTGGATTAGTAAGGGACCAAAGGAGATGCGGTACAACCGATTGCAATCAGGATGGTTCGATGGACCAATATTTGAGTATTGGGTAAAATCTATAATCGTACCTTACTTTCAACGGAAATCTGGCACAAAATCTTAATTAGTGATAACTTGTCATCATACCTTTCTATTGACCTCATAAAATTAAGCTATTAGGAAGATATTCATTTTATATTTTTGCCAGCAAATTCAACTCATATCACACAACCTCTCGACGTGGCTTTCTTCAGGCCGATGAAAATGGCATGGAGAAATATAATATTTCAATGGAAAAAAAAACGGACAGTCGTAAACAAGCCACAGTTCTTAAAGGGTGTTTTACTACATTATTATCCAAATTAATAAACAACGCCACAGATAATATTTTAGCGGGTTTTAGAAAAACTGGTATAAATCCATTTGACCCTACACAAGTTTTGAATAGACTACCTGGACATGAAGATAATAAGCACCGCATCGAAGCTGTAAATGAATCTGTTCTAAATATACTGAAAGAAATGCGTTACGGAACCACAAACGTTGTTGAACCTAAAAGAAAGAGGAAAATAGAAGTAGAACCTGGAAAGTGTGCAAGTGTTGAAGAGTTACGTTGAAGCTAAAGCTGAAAACAGAGAACTAAAGAAAAAACAAAAAAAGACTGAGAAACTAGTAAAGGATAGTACTCAAGATCAGAACGAATTTAATAATGAACCAAGTACATCTAAAGAAAACGGAGTAGGAAAAAAAAGAAAAACGCCATGAAATGCACCTATAGTGGAAAACTAATCAACTTTGATAAAAAACTAATCAACCTTGACATTAAATCAATGCCGGTTATGTTTTTTTGGAGATGATATTGTAATTGACCATACAGAAACAGTAGAAAATGATAATAAAAACTGTTCTTATAATACGATTTCGAATAATGAAATGAAAGAAAGTGACAAAGTTAAAATATTGTCAGATATATCCATAACCTCTTAGTAGAGAGTAATTGTGTTCTGTCATTCAAAATTGATAAAATACGCCACAAATTACATATTTTATCAAAGGCTGCAATAGGTAAAAGCAGAACATAATTAAAAACCAACGAAAGAAGCTTAAGTACTATAGGAACGATGAGGAAATTATTTATGAATTGATGAAGGATTGGGTAATGTTGTGAATCTTGTATATTGACTGCAATAATGTTGTAGATGAAAAGACACGTTAATTTTGTTTTTTATTTTTCTTATTAACTTTGCAAAAACTGTTGACTGGATTCTTCCGTTGCTACTGAGCACTAAAGCATATAATTGCTTATAGTTTTTCAGGGCTTACATACATGTAAAGGAGTTTAGTCGTGAATTTCATAATGGCTGTGAAATAAAATATTGTTTGTTCTTAGATTGATCTCAACTTAACCGATTCGTTGCGGCACCAATTTTCGACAACTTAGCTGTGGCGGCGAACAAATATTTCATGACACGCCGGGCGTGTCAAGCACCACAGACCAGACACGCCTATTGTGCCATCCGCCATGTGCAAAAGTAATGTTCTTTTTATGCTTTTTTTACTTGTTTAGACCTAATTAAATGCCCTTGGAAACTTGGATCAGTGTAGCAGGGAAGAATTATTTGATCTTCGAACTACATACCAAAATCATCACTGAGAAAACCACGGATCACACACCAGCGTCTATAATAGGCAGTTAGGATCGAAGCATTCCATACAGATCTCCATCTTCCATACAGATGTTGGATGTCATAAGCTGCAATAATCACTACAGCCACTTACCATCATGTGGACTAAATTGTTTCACTACAATTTTATAAAAGTTAACTAATTTTTACCAGTTATCAGCGATCTTTTAATGAAGATAATTTAATGAACAATATCTCTAGTTACGAAAGTAAGTTAACCTAATTAATATACCCCTTGTATAGATTACTATAATAAAACAAAACAAATAATTTATTATCGCTTTATTGAATTTATTTTAAGCTTCAACACTGTAATGCCAATGAGAAGACCTTTCCCCAATAAGGATGGAATGTTTAATCAACCTCCTCGATGGTGGGTCCGGCGCCTCCACCAGGGGCTGCACCAGCGCCCGGGGCTCCGCCGGGGAAGCCAGGCATACCACCGGGCATTCCACCGGGTGCTCCACCCGCGCTCTGGTACAACTTCGTGATGATGGGGTTGCAAATACCCTCCAACTCCTTCTGCTTGTGCTCATACTCCTCCTTATCAGCCAGCTGGTTGGAATCCAGCCATTTGATGGTGTCATTGCACTTGTCCAAGATGGTCTGCTTGTCAGACTCGGAAATCTTGTCCTTAAGTTTCTCCTCCTCCATGGTTGACTTCATGTTGAAGCAGTAAGACTCGAGAGCATTCTTAGCTTGGATGGTCTCCTTCTGTTTTTCGTCTTCATTCCTGTATCTTTCGGCCTCATTGACCATACGCTCTATCTCCTCCTTGGACAAACGGCCCTTGTCGTTGGTGATGGTAATCTTGTTCTCCTTGTTGGTCGATTTCTCGACAGCAGATACATTGAGAATACCGTTGGCGTCGATATCGAAGGTGACCTCGATTTGTGGGACACCGCGTGGTGCAGGTGGGATGCCTGTGAGTTCGAATTTTCCAAGGAGGTTGTTGTCCTTTGTCATGGCACGCTCACCTTCAAACACTTGGATGAGCACACCAGGTTGGTTGTCCGAGTAGGTGGTGAAAGTTTGAGTCTGCTTCGTTGGGATGGTAGTGTTACGCTTGATAAGAGTTGTCATGACTCCACCGGCAGTCTCAATACCGAGCGACAGTGGTGTGACGTCGAGCAGCAGCAGGTCTTGGACCTCCTCGGACTTGTCACCGTGCAGAATGGCAGCCTGGACAGCTGCACCATACGCAACGGCCTCGTCTGGGTTGATGGATTTGTTCAGCTCCTTGCCGTTGAAGAAGTCCTGCAGGAGCTTCTGTACTTTGGGAATACGAGTAGACCCACCAACAAGTACAATGTCGTGGATCTGGGACTTGTCCATTTTGGCGTCACGGAGGGACTTCTCCACTGGCTCCATGGTGGACCGGAATAAGTCAGCATTCAGCTCCTCAAAACGGGCTCTGGTGATGGATGTGTAGAAATCAATACCCTCAAAGAGAGAATCAATTTCAATGCTGGCTTGGGTCGATGAAGACAGAGTCCTCTTTGCCCTCTCACAAGCAGTTCTGAGCCTACGGAGTGCCCTCTTATTGGTGGTGAGGTCTTTTTTGTACTTCCTCTTGAACTCCTGTACAAAGTGGTTAACCATACGGTTATCGAAGTCCTCGCCTCCCAAGTGCGTGTCACCTGCGGTCGATTTTACTTCAAAGATACCATCCTCGATGGTCAAGATGGACACATCGAAGGTACCGCCGCCAAGGTCGAAAATAAGTACATTACGTTCTCCACCTCCCTTTTTGTCAAGACCGTACGCAATCGCAGCAGCAGTCGGTTCATTGATGATACGGAGAACGTTCAGACCAGAGATGGTACCTGCATCTTTTGTGGCCTGTCGCTGTGAGTCATTGAAGTACGCTGGAACCGTAATTACTGCATTCTGCACCGTTTTGCCAAGGTAGGCCTCGGCTGTTTCCTTCATCTTTGTAAGCACCATTGAGCTTACTTCTTCAGGGAAGAAGGTCTTATCTTCACCTTTGTAAGATACCTTAATCTTTGGCTTGCCACCATCACTGACAACCTCGAAAGGCCAGTGTTTCATGTCAGCTTGTACAGTGGCGTCATCGAATTTGCGTCCAATAAGACGTTTGGCATCTGTAACAAAAACAACAATTGCTCAAATACTAATCCTTAACAAAAAAAAACATTTGATCCTATTAGATAACAAATTCAGATTATTTTTCTCATTCAATATGTTCAGAGACTCTAGTCTAGTATATTGGGATATCATCATGAAAGAGTAATTTTTATCGAATCAAAAAAGTTCTGCATAATTTTTTCTTAATTAAGAATTTATTAATTATTAACATATTATTATGAAGAACCTTTTATTGAATTTCAATATAATGAAGTCTAAAAGACGATCTGTGACATCTCCGACATTGACAATATTACAGATAGAACAGCCTTCTTTTTCGATGATAAAACTATTTATTCTTATCTAACGCATATCAAAAAAAAAACTAATTTTTCCAGTTATTTAAAATTAATTCAGAGCAGTGTAAAATTGTGTATATTTTTCGTAACTTATTAACAGGGAGCATAAAATAAAAACAAGAATATGTATACTGAATATAGCATTACGTAATTTGCTCTTGGCACTACCTGTAGGTAATATTTTTTTTTCTTGCTTCATAATCTCAAGAACGTGATTCCTTATTTTTGACATTCAAGGAGTAGGGGGTTACCGTATTCATCGGAAATTTCTATAAGCTACAAAATGTGAGTCCGTTTTTATTAAGTTTCCAAATAAAATGAAAAAAAAAAAGATTTAAAAGAAAGTTTTGTTTAGAAATTTCGATTGTAGGTAGCTAGGAGGTAAGTAGAAGAAACAGTAGAACCAACCGGGTGACCGGGTGAGTAACCACGTGGTAGTTACTCACCCGGTTACGACAAACAAGCGGTTACGACAAATAAGAAAATTTTACCAACCGAAGATGGTGTTGTTGGGGTTCATCGCCACCTGGTTCTTGGCAGCATCTCCGATGAGACGCTCGGTGTCAGTGAACGCGACATATGAGGGCGTGGTCCTGTTGCCCTGGTCGTTGGCGATAATTTCAACTTTTCCATGCTGGAATACACCCACGCATGAGTACGTTGTCCCCAAATCAATACCTACAGCTGGTGCTTTGGCCATCTGTAAAAGAAAACATGGTTAGGCGCCAAAGAAATTAAATATGGCGGAACAATGATACTGGTAAGAAAATCGCGGGAACGCCTGTCGCCATTGCAAAAATCAATGAGCGAATATTTTTAACACAACATTTAAAACTGTTAATCCATTGTCCTTTACTTCGATATATGAATGTAAAATTAATAGGTCAACAAATAGCACCTGAATAAGACCACGTGTTAAAATAAAGAACAATATAAATTGGAATGATACATCGGTTTAAATTTGGTTTCCGTAATATCGAAAACTAAATTCTAGAATGATGACTAATCAGGAATTAGGAAGTTCAATGAACATCTATTGTGCAAACGCGGTAAAAGGTAACTTGGATCAATATTTTATAATGTAACTAATAAATGAAAATGTAAATTACAGAATTAAAACGAACGAAAGGACACTTACTTTGTTCCTTTTTAGCTTATCCTTTGTATTGTAGACTTATCTAGTAGATCACTCAGCAAACGTGCGCGATTGACGGTTTCGTGTCACTAATAAAACTGAAGCGGCATTGGCTGTCTTCAGCGTTTTATTGAAGCGCGTAGTCACCTGACGTCACCAGAGTATTCTGGAATATTCCTTTCATACAGCCAATAGAAAACACGCGTTACTAACGCTTAATCCTGCTATTGGTTGAAATTACATGCTGTAGGGAGTATTGTTGCAGTGTTGTATATGCAGTGTTGTCCATGTATGTTAATCTTATCGATTTTTCGAAGTTTATGAGAAAGAAATTTAAAGGGTTATAAAACAAACAATAAAATTAATATTAATTACTTTAAGGCGCTACAAGCATAATGCCCAGTGATACATGGTATCCAATAACTTTTTTACAACTGTTTTAGTACGGTTCCTTATGGGAATTTATTGGAAAGGCTCATATAGGTCTTCCCCATAGATTCGTAATAGGTACCTAAGAATGAAGATGTTTCAATATCAAGATTTAGAAATTTAATTAAATAAATTAATAAATGCTTAGAGTCGGGCTAAAAAATTGAACTTTTCCGGTAGAAAAAGGAACGAAATTCGGTATCAATAGTACTTTAGTCTGAAAACTAAAGCTGAAACTTAAAATAGTTTAATAAGTAGGTAAAAAGTACTGTAAAGTAAAAGATAGTATTTATCTTTATATCTAAAGAAAATAAATAATAATATATATTATTGTTTTTTTATAGGAGAGGGGGCAAACGAGCATGCGGCTCACTTGATGGTAAGTGACTACCGCCGCCCATGAACAACTGCAACACCAGGGAAACCAGGAAAATCGCAGATGCATTGCCGGCCTTTTAAAAAGGAGTAGGCTCTTTTCTTGGAGGTCCCTAAGTCGTATACGTCCGGAAAAATCGCTGGTGGTAATCGATTCCACAAGGAAGTTGTGCGAGGAAGAAAACATCTTCTAAATCACACAGTGGTGGACCGCCAATCATACAGATGGTGTGGATAGTATCGGGAGTTCTGTCGCGATGTGGATTCGTGAAGTTTGGCGGCTGCCATTAATCCGGACAATTTCTCAGAGCACTCCCCGTGGTAAATGAGAAAGAAAATGCAAAGGGATGCAATATCTCTTCGCAGCGCCAATGAATCGAGCCGATCGGAAAGAAATCGGTCGTCGACGATTTGAGCCGCTCTGCGTTGGATGTGATCAAGTGGAAGGAGCCGGCACTGGGGAGCCCCAGCCCAGAGATGGGAACAGTATTCCATGTGAGGCCGATTCTGCGGCTTGTAAAGTTGCAGGTGTTGTGCCGGCATGAAATACTGTCCCACACTGCTGAGCACGCCAAGCTTTTTAGAGGCCAATTTGGCCTTCCCTTCCAAGTGATCACGAAACTGCACGTCACTCGATATAACGACGCCGAGTTATATTTTATTATTTAATGTTTGTCGTTTTATTTTTTAAATGATTGTTTACTGTGTAAAAATAAAAATATTTCGTCCATATTTAGTTTCATCATTTAATTTATAATCTAAATAAAAAGAAGGAATTACATAACATAAACAAACAAATTTTGCAAAATTTGTAACACAATGAATTATACTTTTATAAGTAGTTAAATTAAAGCGATTTAATTCAATATTTGAAAAAAATATATTTAAGTTATACTATACGCAAAGCATAGTATTTTAACTAATTTCCTCCTAACAAATAACTCCTAACAAATAAATGCAGACCATTTTGAGTAGATAAATTGAAGAACTATAATAACTAACAAGTTCGTATTTTCGTTTTCAGCACATGCTGAAAAAAATATTTTGAAATTGTTTTCTGTCGATAATAACCTAAATCTAAAAACGAAAACAATTTCGTCGATTTCTATTTATAGATTCATATATAATTATTTGATTGACAATTCTTTTGGTCTGTACCAAGCGCAAAAGTTATATGTAAAATATATTTCATAAGCGTAATTTTAATGTGGTAGTACATTTTTTTATGCCCATGATGTACTAAGTTATTTTGGTATTAATCGATACCATTTAAGTTACACTTATTAAAACTTTGACAATCTTTACTTAAAGTATGAAAATTCAAAAAAATATAGGCTCAGAAAATCTTGAAATTATCAGATTAAATAATATTTTTTAAGAGCTGACACGAGGAATAAGGATAATGTAAAATAAATAAAATAAAATAGTGCGTTAAAAATTACTTTAGACATTTATCGATATCGATCTTTTATTGCGAAGATTCACATTTTTTTTCATTTATCATGGCAATGGCTACATGGCTTTTAGCCACAAAGAAGCTTGAAAATATGTGTATTTATCATTGATCGCTATTTTAATTATTACAATTATACATGAGAAATGTAAGAAATTAAATATAGTAGCTATAAGCAATTTATTCACTATGATGTCTTTCGTTTATAGAATTCCAAGCTCAAAATGTTTCGTGGAAAGTATATTTTCTTAATGAGTTACAAATTAACAATATCAAATGCACACCGAATCTAAATAAAGTCAAACTTAATCAGTTTTAATACAAATACCAAAAAATATGTTGTGTTCAATAAAGTACAATATAAATTTATAAATTTAAATAAAACAAAATGTAATAAAAATTGCAATGAGGGCTAACAATCTGCCGCTCACGAACATCTCACGAAGTGCCGCTAGTTGACACTGAGGTGAAGCTTTTTGTTACATAATGTCATATAATCAAGAAGTTACTTTTAAATAAAAGTTCGGCAGTTTCTAGAGTAATTATATCAATACACAACAACAATTATGCCTGAGCGCTTTGCTCTTTAATATTTTGCACATTTTTAAATATTTATTAATTTTTCTACTTTTATGAATATCTGTGGTTTGATTTATTTATTTTTAATCTAATTATGAGTATGAATTATAAATCTAATTATAATTATTATAATAGTACAGAGAGTTTTTGCGGGAACTTGACCGGCGGCGGATTGCTGTATTATTTATACATATCACGCCTCTTTCCCGTAGGGGTAGGCAGAGACCAGTTTTTTCCACTTGCTACGATCCTTATATACTTGTTTTGCTTCGTCCACTTTCATTATTCCCTTCAAACATGCTCTACGGTTTAGGGTACTCTTGACCTGGCCTTTTTTCAAGACGTCTCTAATTTGGTCTAGAAATGTCCGCCTAGGTCTACCCCTTCCAACACTTTCATTCACACTCGCCTTATACACTTTTTTCGTCAATCGTTCTTCATTCATTCTCTCGACATGGCCAAACCATCTCAGCATACCTTTCTCAATTTTTGTCACTACATTTTCTTTTCAGACCACAACGTTTCCTTATCTCACTATTTCTTATCCTGTCACTCAGTTTAACTCCTATCATACTTCTTAATGCTCTCATCTCAACTGCATTTATTCTGCTTTCATGTTTCTTCTGCCATACCCAAGTTTCACTTCCGTACATGAGTGTCGGAACCAACACCCCCTCATGCACAGCCAAACGAGCCTTGTTAGACACCTTCGGACTGCTCATAAAGGAGTGCAAAGCTCCATTCACCATGTTTCCTGCATTCACTCTTCTTTCGATATCACTCTCACACTTTTCTTATTATTTATACTGTATTAGTATAAATAGGTAATGGTTTGGAATGGATTTTGATATGTAAAAGTGGTGCAATTTTGTGTATTAAATGTCTGCGCATGTGAATTATTAGTGCAAACGGCGACTCCAATGGTGATGTGAATCTTAAGATAAGGTGTCTGTCTGCTTAGGCGCCTTGTTATACTATCGCCGTCTGCTGGTTCAAATTGCCGTCAAAATCTTACAAAAACTAGGCAATGTGACGCATCAACATATTGTGAAGCGGTGTACTTTAAAGGATAATTAACACTTGATAATGAGATAAATGAAGACATAGCTTAAAAGACAAGCTTCCACGTTAAAAATCTTAATAAAAAAATAGTACAGAAAGCGAGAAAGAAACAATTTTTTTTAGACGAGTATTATAGGTAACTTTCCGTCCCAGCTACCTACCATATTTATTTATCTATGTCCCGTCCCCGCTATTATTTAGATTTCTGTGCGTCCCCGGTATGAAATCAGTTAAATCACAGATTCCTATATATAAAAAAGTACTCTGTGATCACAGAGTACCTTTATATAAACCTATTCTCTGTCTACGGTATAAACCGAGTTAAATATTTTGAATCTAACTGTGGCGCTGCGCCGCCCTGTAAAAAATTTCATGGTGCCCTCTTCTGTGTATTGATGTAATGGCGCGTCTCCACCAAAGTTTTGTTGTCAACACAACATTTGTCAACACGTGTTGCCGACAAATGTTTTTGTAATCACCTAGTTTTAGCAACAAAACGAAACAATGTCGGGAATCGTGTTTTCATTTTCGGCGGCAACATCAAAGGAATACGCTTGTTGCCGACATTTGTTCCCTCGGTGAAGACGCTTCTTGCAACATTTTGTTTGCCCGTGTTTCACTCCATTATTAAAATTTTAAAATTCGACCCTCAACTGCGATCACCGAGGTTTTATCACCTACGACGAGATTTGAGGATATTTGTGTACTGGTATGAGTCTAATTCAAAAAAAATTTAATTAGAAAACTGTTGACACTGGATTCATTCTCTAAATGCATTTAAGTTTCACGTACTTACTAATGAATCCTGACATTTTTGAAAACCAATATGAATTTTTTAAACGTTCTAATGTCTTCAAAGCAAAAATCACCTTGCACCTAATATGTATATAGGTGCCTATAGTAATCTATGCCTTGCACCCTTTGGGACCATTTAATGATTATTGTTTAAGTCTCCATCCAGATATTGCTTATATCCATGACAGATGAGTATATTGGTGTGAAACTTCCGAACTTTCGTCGTCCGATATTGAATTGTGAGACAGGGGTATCGACATGAGTCATTCTGGGTAAGGTTTAGAATCAATCACCTGAATTTGAGTGTGGGGGTGGTAGTGGGAGGGGTAAGGGAGTTTTAGAGTTACCCCCCCACTTCCATTTCCTGCCGTATGTGCTTAGATTTTTTTTATAAATTT